CCAGCTACTCAGGAGGCTGAGGCAGGAGAATTGCCTGAACCCAGGAGGCGGAGGTTGCTGTGAGCCGAGATCGCGCCATTGCACTCCAGGCTGGGTAACAAGCGCGAAACTCCGTCTCAAAAAAAAAAAAAAAAAAAAAAGTAGTAATTGCTCGGTCTTCTATCCTGCCGACAACAGTCTTTGAGTGGAATTCTGAATCTGAGTCACCGAGGAGAACCTGTAATTAACATGAATAAAGGAAGAACTGTGATCTTTGAAAACTCTGGTCTCAGTTATGTATCTGTAAAATAAAAGAATTGGAAACTGACCTCTCCAAAAGGCTTTCCAATTCAGATAGTTTAGGATCCTAAAAATCCGTGACTACCACAAACCTTCTTCCGCCAAGTGCTTATGGAACCCATCCTCTGCCTCTGTCTCTTTCTGGGAGGGTTTGGAACTTACTAGAAGTAAAGAGTATACTGCCCTTCTTACTTCCACTACTGTTGGAATGGAGGCCAGATCCAGCTGGTTTCCTTGAGGATAGAAAGTGAGAATGATTGTAATAAGTGATCCTCTGTTTCTGTGGTGGAACTTGCAAGTCTCTGTTTGTGCTTTTTGAGGTCTGGGAAAAAATGTATAGTAAAATCAGCTTATAGATTGTCAGATCATGGGCTTCTAGAGTTCACATACTGAGTGTGATTCATTTCTCTATACTCTGTATAGAAAATGTGCTAAGGAAATGGTGGAATTGAAAATGAGAACTTTGGAATGTTTTAGGGAATCAGCTCTAAGGTGATCTAAAAGATTATTTCTAACCCATCAGAAAATATCATTAAGAAGTTAGGCTTATTCACACTGAAGGAAAGAGAATTGAAAGGCTTATTTAAGCTATCTGAATGGAAGTCTTCCTGATGGATTTCAATTCAAGTGGGAAATCTTACATATTTCCTCCCAGAAGCAGAAGCTGAACACACAAGAAGTATTCTTGGACCCAGAATCAGGTGGAAAAAGAGGGACCAATAAGTGAAGACAAGCTCACAACATCCCAACACTTCCTCTGTGCTAGAGATTTGCTTCTCTGGTTTTGTTTACGTCCAGTGATCCTGGAGTTTTTCCTCCCCAAACTTTTTTTTTTAATTACATTTCACTAGCAGCTCTTGACTTGATGATCTGATTAAATCTGGTCATATTATTTAACTTATTTCCTGTAGCTACGTCTATTCAAAAGTAGCTCAAAATTACTATATGGGTTAAATAAAATAAAAAATATATGATCTCTAACAGTACAGAGTGGGTAGTATGGTACATAGCAGACACTCAATATGTGCCAGTGGAACAGTGCCTTATAGAAACAAAACATTTTATCATCCGTTATCCTCTTGTATTTCACAAGATTATTGTCACCTAAAGATCAGAAAGGCTGTGTGAAATGCCCAAAGACAAAGAGCTACCAAAAGTCATGATTTATGCCAAGTATAATTTCAGAAAGAAAACTTCCAAATATTTATTTGCTTGATAATTTGATGCTGGCAATCTTTACTTAGGACTTTAATTAACCCCATCATAGCAGTGAGAAAGACCCAGTCTTTGTGTGTGTGTGTGTGTGTGTGAGAGAGAGAGAGAGAGAGAGAGAGAGAGAGAGAGAGAGAGAGAGAGAGAGACAGGGTCTCACTCTGTTGCCCAGGCTGAAGTGCAGTGGCAGGATCTCGGCTCGCTGCAACCTCCACCTCCTTGGTTCAAGTGATTCTCCTGCCTCAGCCCCTCAGTAGCTGGGATTACAGATGCCTGCCACCATACCTGGCTAATTTTTGTATTTTTAGTAGAGACAGGGTTTCACCATGTTGGCCAAACTGGTCTCGAACTCCTGATCTCAGGTGATCTGCCCACCTTGGCCTCCCAAAGTGCTGGGATTGCAGGCATGAGCCAGTGCACCTGGCCAAAGACCCAGTCTTCTTCCCCTGACAACTTACCTTGTTAGTAATTGTCTCCACATCCAGTGCTACCTTACTTTCCTATAGTCTCATAATTGCTCATATTTAGTATATGTAAGAATGCATATGTTTTGAGACAGAGGTTTTCTTCTGATAACTGGCTGGGTTCCCTTGGGAGGCTTTTTCCACTCATGAATGATGACAGCCTCCTCAGAGGAATTCTTTTAACTTTGTGCCTATTGGAAATAAGGCTATGTTATGCAATAGCAGGGCTTTAGCTTTGAATATATTGTGTTACAGTAGCCCAGAATGGTGAAAAGACCCCGATTGAAGCCTCAGGAAACCAGGACCCTTGCTACCTCATCCTTGTCCTGTAGTGATGCTTTGGAAAAGTTCTGATACTTTCTGAGTCTCAGTTTTTTTCCATCTACAGAAAGGACGCATTGGGCTATAGCTTCCAAGAGCCCTTCTTGCTCTGCAATTCTTCAGTTTATAAACCTTATCTGCAATTCCACTGAGCAATAGCTGATTTTTTCTTTTACATGTTTGTAAAATGTTATGGTAGGTCATGAAAGTCCTTTGGAATGATAGGTTAGTACTTGGTGTGACCTTTGCAGTGTAGGACTTGTTCTGCTCAGTGGGGCTAATTAGATGCTTATAAACTAGAGAATTCATACCCCGAGACTGCTTACGGATGCTGTGTATCCCAACCAGATGATTGTTACTGGCATCACGACAATAGCTGCCTACACTATTCACACGGAGTGACTGAGGTCATGGAATGTCTCCATATAGAGACACTCTAAAGAACAGATGAGGAAGTCGTGTTTTTTTCTAAATATGGGAAAACATATTCAGAAGATTCAGAAAGAGAAGTAATTCAGATTCAGAAAAAAATTCAGAAAGAGAAATGAGCTTGCCCATAGTCAAGCAGTGGTAAGTGTCAAAACCAAGACTGTGTCACGGGATTCTGGGACAACAGTTCACTGCACTTTTACTCCACTCTATTACCTCCCATGATTTATTTCATGGTGAGTACAATTACTATTAAATAAAGTATTTCTGGCCATAAAGGCATCTGCAGTCTCCACGATTGTTCTAACTGTCTTTGATGGAAGAGAACGTGATAGTCTTTCATAGCACCCTGATACTAACAGCTTTGCTGGATGGCTTGAGAAACCCCACCGTTGAAAGAGAACTTAGTTTCAGATTAATCTTCCTTGCTTTCACCTCTGGAACTCAGGAAAATAGTTTGGCTGAACTTGTATATTTGGAAGTGTACTACATCTCCCTGTTATAGTCAAATTGACTGGATATTTAGAAATAGTGTCCCTCTTGAATTTCATGATCAAACTTCATTTGGGGTTTCCCTAAGGTAAAAGAATATAATGTGTACTTATTAGACAAGGTATCTTGGCAGATTTTCATCCCCTTTGGATAAAAACAAAATTGCACCCAGCAAATAAGTTGACATATGAAGGAGTAAATAATTCCATTGTGCAAGCTGTTTTAATGGACTCAATCCAGAATGCTCCATTAACCATCACACATAGAATATTCATTGAGTTTAGAGTTTATTGTCAGGCCAAAAAAATAAAAGTGCAGGGGAATAATAAATGTCAGTATATCAGCTGAGAAGGAGAGAAAGAAAAAAACTTTAGAGGTATATTTTTCTTCTATTTTTCTATTCTTCTCAATATTTTTCTTTCCCTATGTATTTTTCTTTTTTTCTCTATATTCTTTTTTTTTTTTCGTTTTCTTCCTGAGCAAAGGATTAAGTACAAAAAAAGTTGGTGTCAGTTTTCAAATATAATCATAAAAAATCTGAGTACTGGCCAGCAGAATGTTTCAGGGATTTTTCTTACTTTCCTTTCGTGAGAAGTTCAGGTATTAGCCAATTGGAGAGTGGAGTGTTACATGCATTTCTATGAAATTGTGCTTAGATACATCTCTACATGGATACACATTCAGAAACCATAACAGCATTCCCCAGGGAATTCTTCCGTAATACAGGAAGTGACAGTTTTGTGATGACACCACAATTAAGCTCTGGTTTTTTATTCCAGAAATCCCAGGATTTAATTTTTAGAAGAAATGAGACATCTGTGATATTCCATAGGGCTGTTTAGAATTGCAGGCAATTTAGTTTTAAAGCTTATTGAATGCAAGGCACCTGAGTTTGGCTTAACCTCCAGGCATCTCTTTGCATTCAGAAATATCTAAAACCACAAACCATAAATTCTGATGGACACATGCAAAAGAGGCCACAGAAACATGATTTTGTTATTCAATGTGGCCACACTCCCCTGACCTGACTTCACTCCCTGTTCTCCCAAGCTTACTTACTTTCTCTTGCTCTGCACTTAGATTTACTAAATGACCAGGCCTGGGCTATGCCAGAGAGTCGCTTCCTACCACGTCTTGTGGATTAAGACTGTGAACTTAATGGAAAGGGGCAGGCATAGTCTTTCTGCAAGCTTTGACGTGTTTGTTGTTGCAATTTCACTGAGGACTGTGTACAGAAAATAGAGGACAATGAGATTCAGAATCTGAAGTTGCAGAGCATTTTGATTGGTCATCATTCCTCTCAAAAATCGTGTGTGTTCTACCATTTGAGAGGTCCCATGTCTTTTCCTAGTCAGTTCTTGCTTTGGTGGAAACTGTTGTTACTGTCATGCCATTTCCTTTCTTCTTGAAACTATCTGCCACCTAAACTGTTCCATTACTGGTCAGTTCTTTGATACCTTCTCTCTTTCTCTTCTAAATTTTACCATCAGAATCTTGGCATGACATCAATATCCATATTTCCAGTTCTGGCCACTTTTCTGTTGAGTATCAGACTCACATTTCCAAGTAGGTGTTTCCACAGAGAATTCCCCCAAATACTTTAAATTTACTATGCTTGAAACCAAATTCATCATTTTTCTCACCTCCTAAAATCCTTTGAACAGTTTAACTAGTTGGAAATTAAGCCACTTATCTCAGCAGCAATATAAAGGCTGACATATTACATCATTCAATTTCTTGTCCTTTTTAAAAATTTTTATCTAATGGAAATGACTAATCTAATGGAAAACTCCTTTCTTGTAGGAGACAAGGAGAAGGACTTAGGATCTACTGGGGGAGTCCGGAGGAGCAGTCCCTACTGTCCCGCTGGAACCCATGGTCCACCGAAGTTCCTTATGCTACTTTCACCGAGCACCCTATGAAACACACAAGTGAGAAATTCCTTGAAATTTGCAAGGTAGGAGGCATCTCAAGTATGACTTTTAGATTAGCTTTGTTGGTGGAGCTATGTGCATCTAGAGACACGTACTCCTAAACAAGAAATAAAACAAAATGCAACCAGCTATTTATATAGACAAAAACAAATGTTAATGGGTTTATAGAACTTTTTAGTAAAGAGTCAAGCCATTTTTATATGTAAATATACATTATATTTATATATAACATGCTGCTTTCCCCTGGCTAATTGCATGCATTGCCTACAGAGTGAATACACCTTCCCACATACAATCACATTCTAATTATTTTATTCAGGGAAATGTGGAATAGTGTAAAGCATAGTCAGATGTGGCTCTAGGTCATGCTTGATTAAGTCACTTCTCTGTCTGAGCCTCGGTAGTCTCACCTCTCAAATGAAGATAATGAGCACTGCCTTTCCTCCCAACCTCACAGGGCCATTGTAAGATTAAATGGAATGATGTGTGTATAAATACTCCATGAGGTGTAAAGCTATTCAGAATACCTCTGCTTTAAATTTTATCTCATCGAGCAGATTTTAGACTCATTTCTAAAGGGAACAGTCTTCTATTATTCTCTCACCTCCCACAGGTGTCTTAAGCAGTACTGGGACATTCTAAGTCATCAAGAAGTAAAACAGTTGAAGCTGAAATGTAGTGAAAGATCAAACTTTATATTTTCAGTAAAACCAAGTATACACGAGTGTGCTTATAGACCTAGAAATTCTTACCTTCTTTGTCCTTTTTTTTTTTTTGGGACGGAGTTTTGCTCCTGTTACCCAGGCTGGAGTGCAATGGCGCAATCTCGACTCACCGCAACCTCCACCTCCTGGGCCCAGGCAATTCTCCTGCCTCAGCCTCCCGAGTAGCTGGGATTACAGGCACGCACCACCATGCCCAGCTAATTTTTTTTTTGTATTTTTAGTAGAGACGGGGTTTCACCATGTTGAACATGATGGTCTCGATCTCTCGACCTCATGATCCGCCCGTCTCGGCCTCCCAAAGTGTCTTTGTCCTTTTTATGTTTATTTTTATATTATGTCATTACATTTATATTATCTCAATTTTTCAGAATATTACAATTATTATTTGCTATAAATTCAAAACTTAGCAATCTGCATCTGAAGACTTTCTGTGGTTGATGGCATATATTACATTTCTTGCATTAAACACACTTATTCATGCAAGTATAAATATATATGTATGTGTGCGAAAATATTATGAATTGATACATCCTGGGGATTTTAAAAAGAATTTGAGGCAATACACATTTGATTACAGGCTAGATGGAGTCTTCATTCCCCCCCTAATATATAGATGAAATCACCTTGAATTACATTATTCTCCCATGAAAAGTCAATGTGCCTCTCAAGAATTATGCAAATGTCCTCAGGGGTTTCGAGTGTCCTGGTTTCTCTTAGGCTCCACGCTGTTACTGACACTAAACTAGCTTGGTATAGGGATCAGGTTGCCCCTCTTTATGAAACACTCCTGTTTCACAGTTTCTCAACCCAAGCATCAACATCAGCCCCTAGCCTGACTCTTTACCACTGAAAGTCAAAAAAACAAAACAAAACAAATGAGAACCAGTAAGAACAACCTAACACCTGCCTGAAGGCAAGAATATGAGAATAGACTCACTGAGCGCTTCAGGGAGGTAGAGGGGGAATTTGCGTCATGGCTCCTGCCCGGAACTTCAAATGTAATATCAGACGTCTCTGTTTCTAGAAGTTCTTAATAATAACACATTGTTCCTTAATCTTCAAACTCTGTTTCAAAAATTATTATTAACAATGCAGAACACTTTGTTTCTTTTTTAAAACATCTGTTAATCCAAGTTAAAGAGCTTAATAACCTATTTTCCCAAAGACATTTCCCTGCTTTAAAGGACATCTGGTTCCACCAGATACATGTTAAAATTGTATGTATTTTTGAATTAATAGTAATCATACTTTATTGTAAATCAAAATAAATATTAACTGCCTTAGTTGGTACATCCATCATTTCCTGGGCCAAGTCTTCTCTTATCCCTCATACCTGGTACATTCCCTGAATGTCCTTTACAGGAAGTTCAGCATGAGAAATTAAAGAACAAGTTCTATAAACTGCAGAGAAGTAACACTGTTACATTCTAACTTCTGATTGTGCTTTCTCTTATTCTGCTATATGTAACTACAATCAAATAATGCAAAAAGATGAAAAGTAAAATATCAAAGAGAGATGGCATATTATTTTCCAAATAACTGCAGATGGAGTTAGTAGACTACAGCATTGGATTTTGCTCGAGCCTTCCCAGTAGCAAAGGCTGAATCGGGAATTGATGGCAGCTCTTCCTGGATGGAAATAAGAATAGCAGGTGTGAGGCACGTGCACACACATGAACACGATAGATGGTTAGCTGGTTGACTTTTAGCCTATCAAACTACTTCCTGGATCTATTAAGTGTATTTTCTTTAAGGCTTTTCTCCCTAATTTATTATTCTAAAGTTTTTTTTTTTCCTTCTTTTTTCCCTTTAGCAATAGTCTGGCACTTTCATTTGCCAAGCCATTTCTTATTCAAAGGCCACCCAAAGTCCCAGCTCTCTAGGAAAACAAATGATCTCCATCTGGAATGTGAAATGATGAGTACTTTGATCCAGGTTTTTGAGTCTTAGTTTCTCTTTTGTTGCTGGTTTTTATGTCACAATATTATTTGTGTTTAAGACATTTTCCAAGATTGGCTTTGACTAAGACCCAGTTATATTAATGTAAAAGAATAAATAAGAAGAAAGATGATTTGGGGGATCTAGAATCCTTTTTAAGTGAGTATTTTGGCAAAAACATGAGATTTTAAAAGGGTTTAATAAACTGGTTTTTCCATCTCTTTAATGAATGAAATAGGAAAAAAGTAGAATATGGGGAAAACGCATAACTAAATCAAATACCTGAAGCAATTTAATCCAGTTTAAGAAAACTGTGGCACGGGGAGGGAATAACTTAGAACAGAGTTATACAGTCAAAATTTTCACATTTTCAAATTATTTACAACCTAATGGAACAGATTATTATTTTAAAATACATGAAAATATTCAAACTTATTCTTAACCAGAGTCATTTCTTCTACCACATCTAGAATCTCTTTATTCAAGAGATTTTTATAATGCCAACGAAGTCCAGGTAGTATGATTATTGCTGAGGATATAAACAGAAATGAGACAAGGTTCTTGCAGTGCTTAACAGAGGAGGCAGATGAAAATGCAAATATTTTTAAGAGTTCTAATTAACTGAAACTGAAGTTTGGATCAAGTAAAAAGGAGGAGTGGAGGCATGGAAAGTATACAGATGGTTCTTAGATAAAGTGTAATTTGGTTTAAACGGAGTTTAGTCTTACATAGTCCTCACTAGAGTTATAATGGCTTAAATAAAAGATATAGGAGCCTAAACTAAGTTAGAAGCAGTAGGAAGGGAAAGAAGATGAGAAGATTTTTAGCTACCCGAGAGAGAATTAATGGAAGCAAGTAACTGACAGGATATGGAAGAAGATGAAGAAGTCACAGATGACAAAGTTTCAGGCTTCGGTAGATGGTGATTTCATTCATTTGACTGATGAAAACTGGAAAAAGTAGGTTTGCGGATTCAGTTTATGACTTGTTGAGTTTGAAACATGTTGAGTTTCTATAGAAGTTGGAGTAGAGTTGGTTGTCAGGCAGGTAGACATTTAGGTCTGAAACTCAGTAGAGAAAGTGGAACTGGTAATATAGGTTTTAGATTGTACCACACTGGGCCAAAGCTGAGCAGTCGTGGGGCTGGTGGGTCAGGAAGGTACCCAGAGAAAGAGCATTAATAAACATAATAGCATTCAAATTCAAATTCATACTGTGTCTAAGTCTGTTAACATTTACCGATAAAATTGCTGTAAAGTTTATACAATGCTATGTCAAAATACACTATTCCCATCTCACTAACTCTATACCACTTCCACACCTGGCAAATATGTTGGTCAAATGGCCTCTTCCCAGACAGTCTTGCTTATCTCCCTGCTTCACTAAACTGTTCCAATATGTTCATGTCCATACTTTGCATTACTAATATAAAACAATTATGAAAATATAAAATAAAATAGCTTTTTGGCACTGCTTTGAATATTATGAGACATAAAAAGTAGTACTATTATATGATTGTACTTAATATCTATTGATTACGTTTGAATATTTTCATGTAATTCAACTAACAAAACCCCTGTAAGTTAAGGATATGTATCTTTGTTTTGAAAATGAGAACACTTGAGCCATGAGTGGTGGTGGCCTATGTTTGTAATCCCAGTGACTCAGGAGGCTAAGGTGGGAGGATTGCTTAGGGCTAGAAGTTCAAGACCAGTCTAGGCAACATAGTAAGACCATGTCTCTTTAAAAACTTTAATAAAATAAGTTATTTTATTAAATTTTAAGACATGGTGGCATGTACCTGTATTCCCATTCCAGTTACCTATAATCCCAGCTGCTTGGAAGGCTGAGTCAGGAGGACTGCTCAAGCCCAGGAGTTCGAGTTTGCGGTGCAAGTCTGCAGTGAGCTACGGTTATACCACTGCACTCCGACCTGAGTGACAGAGCAAGATTTTGTCTCATTAAAAAAATGAGGACACATAATCAGGGGGATTAAGTGACTGAGGTCATACAATAATAGTTCTATGTAACACCCAGTTTCCTAATACTCAGGTAAATGGGTATAAGCCTGAAAGAATTGTGTGTGTGTGGGGGGGGGGGGGGGATAGAGAGACACTGTGTATGTACATTCATATTAATTGATATGATATGGTATAATATTACATGTCACAACCTGGCTCAATTATCCTCAACGATTTCATCCACTTTGTATTTGCAACTTGTAGCCTTAATCTTTTCTTTTTTAACCATGACTTTGCCGGGTTGCTGGAGTATGTGGAGTGTACTTCTGGGAGGGACTAATAATAAATCCAGATGAATAGCAGTGAATGCATTATGCATGCTCTACAATCATAATAATCTACAGACCAACCATTTTTCCTCTTTCTTGTAGTTCTGTCCGTCTTTTCAAGGGGTTCATGAAAATGAACCAATGTTTTAGCCGTCAAATTTAACTTTATATACTTAGCCCTTCGTTTGCCTTTCGCATCCATTCAACAAACAGTCATTGAGTACCTACCTGGCAGTGACTACTATGTGATGAGCAATGTTCTGGATTACCAAGAAGAATAAAACTGATTTTGCCCGACAGATACTTACAGCATAGAGGGAGGAGGCAGGAATGACTTTCATAGATGATAATTTAAAGTGTTTAGATTGTGACTAGGGGGATTCACAGGGTGTTATAGGAGCCCAAAAGTGGGAAGAGATAAGTCCAAAAGTTAACGAGTGTGATAACATTTGATATGAAACTTAAGGTATGGGTGATTTAAGCATCAAAGGAGGTGGGAAAAGACATTTTAAGTAGAAGAAACATGCTTAAAAGCTGCAAATTACAAAATGTATACAAAATGTTCTTGGATAAAGACTGATTCAGTTTAGCTACATTTAAAGAGCACTGTGTATGTTTGCGTGTGTGCGCATATTTGCATGTGTTCAGAGAGGAGGTTTGGGGGATGGGATAGGATGAGGATGGAAATTACAATGGGTAGAAGCCACTCTTGTGTAAGAAAAAAGAAGCCACTGCCTCTTCTTATTTCTATGTACAGGCTTGAATTTATCGTTACACAGGGTCTCCATAAGGATAATCCCAGGCAAAATGTACAAGGATGATATATACAGTCTGTCCAGCAATGTGACTTCTCAAGTGATTTCAAGTACTGGGTATTGGACAGGCCTGCACTCTATGACAGGAGGCTTCCTTCCAGATACAGGGAGGCTAAAACCTGTAGCCTGCAGGCTTGGAAAACCAGCTCGACTGAGGAATGTGGGCCTACAGGCATGAAACCTGGTCTCTTTACTCAGTGTAAACAGGAAGCAAGTGATGGTTGTAATAAAGAAAACTGATACTCTAGGCAATGAACTGTTGGCAGACAGCACCTAAAGCAAACCTGTGGACCAGGCACTCAGCTGGTAAATAATTGGTGGAAAGTCAAGAATAATACTGCATCCCCCCAGCCCCACCAGGCACACTGCTATACTTTATTTTAACCAACACACAGCCCTGTGTAACTGGAGTTGTTAAAACCTGACCCTCTGTATTTGGGACTGAAATACAAGAGAGAGCCAGGGGTGGGTGCATACAAGCTTTTAGAGAAAAGTATGTGGCTGGTGGCATTCATATCAGATGACAAGCGTTCCTGTAACATAGATTTGGTTCAGGTGCTTGAAATGCTCAGGAGCCAGCTCAGGGACTTGGCCTTTTGTCTGCCCCTTCTTCAATGCACTGCTTGTCACCCTGCTTGTCTCTCTGTTACCATGCCCTCCCCTGGCTTTGAAGGGGCTCCTAGAAATGACTGGAAATGAAGTGCCTCTGACTCCAGTGAAATGCCAAGTTCATTGAATATGAAACAGTACCAACTTTTACTTTCTAGCACTTTGATTTTTGAGGCCACAGAGGATTCTCATGAAATGAAGTTTACGATGAAGCCTGAGGAAGCATTCAATAATCCAACTGGACAAGATTTATTGGTCTATGAAAAGGCATTCTGATAATCCAGAGTGTTGCAATAGAATTGTTGAGATGAATTCTACTTTGATTTTTAAGAGCTCATGGTTTGATAATGACGATGAGGATGAGGTCAGTGATGATTGAACAGTTAATATTTATTGATTACTGGCAACAAGATTCCTTTATGGCCTTTGCAATGTAACTCCAAATTTCAGGCTTATCTCATTCTGCTTTCCTATCCCTCTATATAACGCATGAGCACACAGGTGCATGTGTGTGCACACCTCCATTCACAGCTTGCATACAAGCTTCATTTCACTTAATCTTTACAACTACCTGTTAAGTTTGATGCTATTCATATTCTTATTTTGTGGCAAAGGAACTATAAAATCGAGAGAGGTTAGATAACTTGCCCAAAATCACACAGCTAGTGAGTACCATAGATCCAACTTAAGACCAGCTCCGCATACTCCTACATTTCCTTTAGTTCAGTGGTTTTTCAAGAGAGGGTGATTTTGCCCATGGGGGACATTTGACGATGTCCCAGTGTCCCAGTGAGACATTATTGGCTGTCACATCTGGGGTGGAAGCCTGTCTGGTATCTGGTGGGTGGAGGATAGGTTTCTGCATGTAACATCCTTACATGCAGAAGACATTCTCCCACATAGCAAAAAGTTGTCTGGCCAAAAGGAGCAGTAGTCCCAAGGTGGAGAAACTTTGGTTTAGCTGTACAGACGGCCACATTTTTGACTCTACTTCATAAAAAAAAACGATGAAATATTTGAGTGGAGGTATAGGTCTAGGTAAAACATAATAAAGGTTAATTTTTCCCTTGAGTATGTGGGAAGGCATTGCAGAAGATATAAGATTTAAGCTTGCTTCTCAGAGATGTATTGGAGAGTGAGTGCTATAGATCCTTTTGGATTAAATCATTGATTGCCAGAGCTGAAGATTCCTAGGCAAGTAATTGTCATTTTAAAAGAAGCCTTTTGGAAATAAAATTTTACTTGGAACTCAAATATATAAAACTGATGATAAAAATAGAGCCCCTCTGATTGATTTGATTGAAGGGACTAAAACAGGTTACCCGCTTGTCTTCATCCCTAAATTCAATCACACCAGTAAATTCCCTGGCTGTACCCCACCATCCCCAAATATGCCTAATTAGCCATTTCTCATGGTCTCCACTGCTACACTGTCCAAGCCACCATTATATCTTGCCTGGACTCCTGAAGTGAATTCCAAACTCGTCTTGTCTTCCTGCTTCCATTCTTAGCCCTGACAGCATTCCATTTTTGACTCCACATAGCAGCTAGGATTATTACTATTTTTAAAATAAAACCTATACAACTTTAAACTCCTTCTTAAAATCACATCAATACAAAGCCCTTAATATTGCCCCAAAGACTCTTCATACCTAGTGCTCCATTCTCTTTCCTTTGATCCCTAGACTTCTGTCTAACAGGCCTTTTCTGCGTTCGTTGAAGAAGCTAAATTCACGCTTCCCTTACAGCTTTTGCAGGTGCTGTGTTTTCTACTTGGAATTCCTTCTTCACATAGCTAGGTCTTTTTCATTATGTGGGTCTCAGTTCAAGTTTTACCTCCTCAGAAACACTTGCCGTGAATACAGTATGTGAAGTATCTCTAACTTACTACTTTTTAGCCCTTTCCCACATTTTATTTTCCTTCCAGAATTTATCACCGTCAAAATTTGTATTAATACGTTTTGTCTGCAATCATGAGAATGTAAGCTCCAGGACAGCAGGGTTTTTTTGCCTGTCCACTGCACTTAAAACGTTCCTGGAATGTGTTGTAGGTGGTTTATTAATATTTCTTAAGTAACTTCAGATGCTCTTTTGTCTATTAGAGACAAAGAGAGTTAGTTTACAGTGCTAATACTGATACGAATGATTTGTATACAAACAAAAAACTTCAAGCAGCTAAAACTAAAATGGTACTTGGTAGACTTACGTGGATGGTAAACAAACTGAAAAATCACATGTTATTTCTGACTCTAAGAAGCAAAATTGGGCCTGAGGAAAGTTAGTCTTAATTGAGTTAAGCACAGTTTTTGTTTTTTTTTTTTTTAGATAGAGTCTCTCTCTGTCACCAGGCTGGAGTGCAGTGGCACAATCTCGGCTCACTGCAACCTCCACTTCCTAGGTTCAAGCAATTCTCCTGCCTCAACCTCCCGAGTAGCTGGGACTACAGGTGCACACCACCAGGCCCAGCTAAGTTTTGTATTTTTAGTAGAGATGGGGTTTCACCATATTGGCCAGGATGGTCTTGATCTCTTGACCTTTTGATCCGCCTGCCTCGGCCTCCCAAAGTGCTGGGATTACAGTGGTGAGCCACAGTGCCCGGCCAAGCTCAGTTATTAATTGTATTAACTTAATAGAGTTAAACTTAACCACTTGTGTTTAAGAAGTAAGATTAACTGCAGCCCCAGGAGAGTAGTCAACTTTGGTGAAGACTGGCTGGGGAAGTGAGTATCTCTCAACGTAATCTACAATAACTAACTGTGTGCCTTTTCTTTCTTTCAGTTGTCTGGGTTTGTGTCTAAGCTTGTTCCAGGTATCCAGAATGCCCACAAGAATTCAATTGGATCTGGAAGAGGAAAGAAACTGATGGTGTTAACCGAACCCATTTTGATTGAGACCTACACAGGGCTGATGTCATTCATTGGAAACCGCAACAAACTTGGCTATTCCCTCGCCCGTGGGAGTATTGGTTTTTGAGAGTCTTTTTGGTACCATAAGTATATCATCCATAGATATGTCACTTTGAAAATTCTATTTTCACCCACCCTATTTTTGGACTGAAACAATTAATTGCTTTTAAATAATACTTCATGATTTTATTGATTGGACTGATAGATACATACTTCAGACCTCATACAAGAATAACCAAATTTCCTTAAAACTAGAACATAAATGTTGCTGAGACTATCAAATATAGTTATCAAATGAGTGCCTGATCATTGCACAGGAAAGAAGACTCTTTAGGTCTTGTTACTTCAGCTCTCTAAGTATAAGCATCTTTTTTTAAGGTCTTGGTCTTCAGTCCTCTTATCCTGATTTATTCTCTCATTGGGGTCTCACTGTCTCTAGATTTTTAGCTACCACTTTATAAGGAAGTCTTCCAAATTTATATTCCCATTCCCAGTATTTATTCCAAGATTCAGTTTTGCATTTCTGTCTGCTAATCATCTACATATCAGTGTTCCAATGACCTCTTACATTGAGCATCATCAAAATCCTGGATTTCTCTGTAGCATTTATGTGGTCTCAGTTATCTATACCTGAATTCTGTCAGTTTTGATTTCTCTAAATTCCTTACCAATTAATTATATCCTATATACTATCACATCTATATGTGGCTTAGCATTTTATTCCAGTGCCGAGATGTCAAACTGGAAGCTCATTCTTTTTTCAAAATTGCTCATATATTTCTCCTTACCATTCTTACATCTGTATTATTAGATCAGGTTTTTAATTCTACTCATCCGATTACTAACACAGTCTGTTAAATGGAATCCTTACTCCAAGGCTGTTTCAATCGATCCTGCACTTGGTTTCTAGCTCATTTACTTTTGCCATCTTCTGTTCAAATATATTTTTAATAGCAGATCCTTTTCTTCTTGTGAAATCTTTTGCAGAAGCAGAATATACAAAGCAGATAAAAGTAGGATCACTGCGGTTGGAATGAGGATGAGAATGGCACAGGCATCTTTCTTTGTAGGCCTCAGAGGTGCTGTATGTGGAATGCCCATGGATTGCAGAGGGTTTTGAAGACCTTGTTTTCAAAAACACTGTCCTAACCCACTCTATTCTCATTGCTCTTTTCCCTCTTATTTCCTCTTTGTTTCTTCCTGACTTAGGTCTAATAACAACCCAGGAAATTATCTCATATTTTTGCATCTCTCAAGTTTCTTTTTGTTATTTTAGAATCTTATTTTATTTATGTTTATTTAGAATAAAAAACTTTGAATGTTGACTACATACACATTACCACAAAAGCTATTTTGCCTTTCCCAAGACTCACATTGGACACATTTTGGTTGATACTTAGGTTGAAAATTCCAGCTAACTATTTTGGGGGGGGGCTTTTGTGAAGTTTAATGTCTTTTCTTTGAAAAGCTTGCATCCTCAATTTTGAAGATTTGTCCTCTGATATAATTATAAATCTCAGTTTGATGCAGGCATTTAAATTCCAAACCTTGAATAACCCTCATTTTATTTTGTCTTTGTTTACTTCCATTAATATTTTTTCTTTCCCTCTCTTCTGCCTTTATAGCACCCACTTTTTCTTCCCCCCATGATTGCAAATATTGTTATAGTCCCCAAGGCAGGGAACTTCTATTCAGACTCTAAAAGGAAATGTCGAAATCCATAACTGTCCTGTCAACAGTAGTGGAATGAAAAGTCGTTGTATTGTTTTGGCACTCGTTCTGAAGCAGGCATAATTGGCAAATTATTATAATACTGCTGCCCGAAAATCCCCATTTGCCTCAAGATAGTGGCATTTATTGGCAAAAGCCTCTGAAATGTCCAACACATTCTTTTGAGTTACCATTTAAGGATCAGCCTGACAATCGACTTCTCTCTGCACATTTGTTCCCTTTGTAACCTAAGCCAGACTGTTCCCAAATGACCTTCTAAAGGACACAGTGCACCATCATCAATGGAAACAATTCAAAAAGGATGACAGGAGGGAGATGGTTCTTAGTTTTGAGAGCCAGTCTGTAACAATAGGATAAGCATTCAATGGGAGTAAAGCTGTTTTGCATAAAGAGTGAATTCAGAGATGACATGAGAGTCTGTGAATTCCCTTCATGTTTCATAAAAACTATCATAGATAGGATATCCCACGAATTGATAAATGGGATCTAGAAAGCAGTATTATGACCAGAGGGTGAGAAGATTTAGGAATTTGGATGGCAGTTCAAGATAAGAGAGAACCTCTTACAGCTGTAAATTTTCAATGGTGGAATGGGTTCTTTAAACAGTGAGTCCACCATCACTTGACATGTTCAAGGAAAGACTAGATGTCATGAGAGAAATTGTTCTATGGTATCATTTGGAGAAATGGTTGACATAATCTCTTAAGATCAGTGACCCTATGATTTTCCAAAAAAATCGTTGCTAGTAATTAGTGAATTAGACCCATTTTTTTCTTAGGGAAGAATTGGATCAGTCATGGGAGACCCTGGAAAATTTCCTTCACTTTCCTAAGGTTTAATTTCTTCATCTGCAAAATGGAGACAATTATATTATCTTTGCTGATTTCATCTTGTGAGGATTCAATGAAATGAGGTGACATTCTTGTATTAAATGGAAAGCTTTGAGTATTTGCAGAGAGAGTGATGAGACGTTTGCAGCAGAAGGTGGGGAAACATCCAAGGGAACTAAATTTCCTCCAGAAATGGTCTCTTCACTACCGTGGACCTGCTGACTATGGTTTTCTCACTTTGCACTTGGTGTTCTTACTTGGACTTGTCCTTAAGTTCAACAGGGAGCCACAAACCAGGGGACCTCTACGTACACTTGGAATTTCTATCAGATTATCATCTGAACTTACCAGTACAGTTTTGCAAATGGCATCATGAGTTTGATTGGTAATAAGAATAGACACAAGATACAATTAGGTACAGAACAAAGCATTTCAGAACCAAAATGTCATGGTTGGAGGTCTTCATTATTTGATTTTTATCTCATTTAGCGATTTCCACTTGAAAAGTCTCCGATAAGCTTTGTTTCAGAAACTGCTTGAACACCTCCATTGACAAATGCCTCACAGTCTCCTGATACATCGCAGGCAGTTCTGAAGGTGAAAGGGTTCAGAGCAGATGATTTTTTTTAACACAACAGGAGGAGTTTTCAATGATTACCAGGACTCACTCCTCACTGAGTGCTCAGTGGTCAGTTGGGCCTTTTTGGAGACCTAACCTTTGGTTGTAGGTAATCTAAGGCAGAAATGACAAGCTCATTTATAAGTTGGCTACTTTTGAATCATTTGCCTTGAGGTCTATTTTTTTACTGATCCTTTGTTGAAACATTCTTAGGAAGCCAATTTATAGAGTTCTGGTGATAAGAAGGCAGAAAAACCATGTAAATTTAGCGCTTTTATTTCATAGAACATGAAACAAAGACCAAGAAACTGGAAAGAAATTTCTCAAAAAGTAGATGGTGAATTATTGGAAATACTGAGATTAGACGAAATTTTCCAATTTCTTTTCCTAGCCCACTGCTCTTTGCAATATATTATCTGTATTCCCTGGGAAAGACACACCATCTGAATGGACGTATCATAGTTGTTGAGATAGGTTTGAAGTGAGAAAACAATAAGGCGCAGTTGTTTCGGAGGAATTTCCAGAAATTGCCTTCATTTTCTTAAAGGCTAAGGACTCTCTCTCATTTCCTATCTGATAAAAAAGCCCAAACAAAGCTGCGGAAGCTAGCAGAGCCAGCAGATATTTTGTAAGGCAGCTTTACCTCTGCTGGCACTTTGTAGGGCAGGAGAGGGGAGGGCAAAAGTATTAAATTTAGGCTTAAAAGCTCCTCAGAAATTCTTTACACACAAGAGACCAAGTTGGAGAAAAGAAGATGACTTGTGCCAAGGGGAAGAAAGAGAGAGACTAATGCCTGTGGTTTTCAAAGGTTAACAACAACATTAAAAAGCCAAGGTATTTGCACAGGGATGAATGCTCATTGGCTTTTGGCCAACAATTATACAAGGGCTTGTGCCCACATCCTGTAGCTGTGGTTTGGGGACGCTGCTCATGAGTGACTTCTTATGCTTAGTGGCAGGAAACTTTAGTCACTGATGTGTAAATTCACCTTTGGTCTGCACCTCCCACAACGTGCTCCGAAAGCAGTTAGGGGACTAGGCCTCTTGATTTCCTTGTAGATACCAGTTCCCCAGAGGCTAAGGAAAAACTGTTGAGGCCTTGGAGTTACAGAGAGTCGATGGATACTTGTCTTATTCTACCTGATGTGACAACTGCTTGGGATAATTCTGTATCCACAAAAAGGAATTATGATATCTTCTGCTAGCCCAAGACAAAAAAAAAATGAGCCATATTTCATTGCAGGCCTGCAGCCAATTGAAATATGAGGAATGAAATCAGAACACTGCTTCTCAACCTAGGTATTATATCTCATGTGCTGTTTTACACTCAATTTTTAAAAGTTCTTAGTAACCATCTCAGTCCCCTTTTCAGTGAAGCCAAATGGAATTTGCAAGCCCAGTTTAATTAACTGCTGTGTTTCTAAGGTAGATATGACAGATCGTGATATATGAAGGATGTGTAGAGATCAAGTTTTATGAAGCATCAACTTGTCTCTCGTACCCTGCCCACAATGCTTACCCCATACATCTCAGAAATTCCTTTTCCTTTCTTTTATATTCCCTGCTCACTCTTCATGGACTCTAAGATTCGAAAGGACCTTATAGATCAGGTAGTTTAGCCTCCTTTGGTTGAGGTTGCAGGAATGCCTTCAACCAAAACAGGCACAGCAGATGGAAAATCAGCTTCTACATTCCGGGAGCACAGAACTTTTTGTTTCTAAAGCAGTTCATTCCTCTACTGAGCAACTGCAAGGAGAAGGTTTTACTGAACATTGCACCCAAAACTTTCTCCTTGGAAATGTATAGATTTGGTGCTGGATCTTCCTTTGAAGGTATCCCACATAAATCAGTTTCCTAGTTCACATGCTAACACTTCAGATAAAGGCAGGTGCTCCTCCAAAGGTAATGATAGTGGTTTTATTTTTGTATTTAGAGATAAAACTCCAGTTACCACAATCATTTAAAAATATGATGCATTATCCAGAGTCCTTATGAAGCTTGTCTCTTGCTTGTGGGCTATTCTGTTTGGTTAACACTTCTTTCAAAATATTATATTCAACACGTGGCTTGGCAGTTCATATATGGACTAATCAGTGCAAATTA